TAAACTTAAAATATCGAAAAATATACAGCGCGCGAATTTTAAATGAGAATTTCCGAAAACTTTTCGGTCTTAATGTATAAACAAGTTTGGAGGATGAGGAAACTTGCATATTGGAAACACGCCACTTATATGGTATTAACTTCCCAGAGTTGTATATCGTATGTCCATAATGATTTCTTTATAAATCTCTATATTATTTATATTCTTTATAAATCAAGATTTTGATTTGAAGTGATCGCTATCTATTGGGAGCCAAACTCTTACTTGAACGAATTTGTAATGGAAAGTTGTCAAGACCACTTCCTTGCATAAGTCTATAGTTTGTCATATATATATATCATATGGCAATATTGGTTTAAATGAAGTTTTATATATTAAGAACTTGTTTTATAGCGATAAGTTTAGCTTCGGGGCTGAACCTGTGCATGAATGAGCTTGGGAGTGGCACTTTGAACTCCAAAATCAGCACCTTTGATGCGCCCTTGATTTATACTGGGATTGCTAGATATGAATATCATAAGGGCATGTTCGCTTTATCACACTTTTGTAAATTAAGTTTTTATAGTAGCAGTACGAGTAGCAGAGAGATAGGGACCAAATCTTTACACAGATGAGTTTAGCACATCTGTCAAATGTTTCTGGACGCTTGGAATGCTTCTGATTTTCAGTTGAAGTGCTAGCTATGTACACCACACTCATATAGTGGTTGCATACATCAAGAGCTTGTTTTATGGTAATAGCTACGAGTTAGGTCCAATTCTCTATATGTATGATTTTTTGAGGAGTGCTTGAATCTCCCTTACATGCACCCATATTATATTCTTGGATTGCCAGCTATTTTCATTATCTTAAAGTATTTAGATAGTGTTAAGAAAGGATTAATAGTTTATTTTGTAGCGATTGTTGCAGATATGTATACGATACTCATATAGTGGTTCCATACATCAACAGCTTGTTTTATGGTAATAGCTCCGAGTTAGGTCCAATTCTCTATATGCATGATTTTTTGAGGAGTGCTTGAAACTCCCTTACATGCACCCATATTATATTCTTGGATTGCCAGCTATTTTAAAGTATTAAGATAGTGTTAAGAAAGGATTAATAGTTTATTTTGTAGCGATTGTTGCAAGTTGGGGGAAAAATTTCGATATAGCCGAGTATGGTGGAGTACTCGGCACTTCAAATCCACCCCATTGAATACGTCCCTAATTTTCATTTGGATTACCAGATGCTGGTAATGTTGGTATCGTTGAGTTTTTAAATTCAAGAGAGTGGGGTTTTATGATAGCTGCCAACCCGTTCAAGTGTCTACTTGGAACGGATTGCTTTAAGTATAGAAGAAATATGGTTTATTATAATTTCTTTATCATTTTCTTAACATTTGTTATCATTTTCTTATATCTTGTGTATTGTTTAGCTTTATTGTATTTTATGTTCCCAATTTTTTTTATCCAAAGTTTTTCTTCTGGAAGATTTTCTGCATTAATTTAATATTTTCTGTTGTTTTTGTTTTTTGAAACTAAGTGTTACCAACTTAAGATTAAGTGAAGTTTTTGCTTTATTACAACTTCCGTAACAACTTCCGGTGTTACAATTGCTGTTTGTGTTGTTGCTTTTCGATCATTGCCGCGTTACTTGCTCTGCCCTCATTTGCTATGTTTCATGAACAGCAGATTTACGTTGTAAATGAAAAATAAAAATAAAAAATATCTGAAAAAAAGCATTATTTGCTTTATTTTCTTAAAAAGTTTTTATTTTTATGATGTTCACTAACGAGGGCAAAGGACACTTCCAACTCTAATAAAGTTAAAATTGTGTAAACACTGCGAGAAAGAAGGACTTGGCAATGCATTGCATGTGGCAACTATGGCAGTGGCAATAATGGCGTAGTGTCCTTGGCATGGATGTGGAGTTCTGCACTTACGTCGTACTTGTTTACTCAACTACTCGTGATGGTATAATAATTAACTCATGCAGATAATTTCTTTTAACTACATTTTATTCTTAGAAACTCCAATTAAAATTTATGATACAAAGCTTTGAGAGTTTATTAATTAACTGTTTAGCTTAATGAAATTTTATTACTAGAAACTAATAAAAGTGAAGTTATAATGCACTTCTACGGTTTTGCTAGAAGTACACATGTGTATATGTGGGTTGTTATTAAATTGTAGCATTATTTTTGTAAATTAATTAATTATTTTAATTAAAATATAATATATAAAGCAATATATGAAGCAATTCTTTCTATTGAAGTCTTTTTTGCTTTGAATTAAAATATATTAAATAGAAGATAAACCACAAATATGGACAGAACATTTCCTTATATATATTAGTATTAAAATTTATTAAATTTGTTGTGATAGAGTTGAAATTTCAATAGCTAGATGTAAAGAATTTGAATGCATTTAATTGCACATTTAATTTACATATTCTCTTGTTAAAGAGAATAAAAATCTTTGATATAAAAATTCATAATTCGAAAGATATTTGTACCTTCAGTGTCCTTAATTTTATACATTTCACAGATTTTAAATTGCTCCATTGGTTCTTTATTAATATAGAAAAATATGATGTTAGAAATTTTGGGTAAGTTTACCATGCTTTCATCGTTAAACACTTTTATGGTACAAGAAAAAAAAACACTACTTCTGATGCTGCATGATACCGGTAATATATATACCTTCTGCTTAAAAAGTACTCGGATTTTGTAAATAAAACACACAAACTTTAATTTTATTACAGCTTTATTTAATTTCCTTCAAAATATGCTCCTTCTGAAGCGATACACATATGCCAACGCTCGTCCATACACTTTTCGTAGGCCCGTGCAGGTATGGCTTTTAGTTCCTTCGGTGAATTCTCTTCTACCGATTCAATCAGCTCAAAACGCTTATCACGAAGGGACAATTTGAGTTTCGGGAACAGGTAAAGTCGCACGGCGCCAGATCTAGCGAATATGGTGCCTGAGCGATGACAGTGATGTCGTGTTTGGTCAAAAAATCGCGTACAACAAGAATTTTCCATAGTAAAAATCACTAAATGTACTTGATGTAGTCTCACATTAACAGCTGCTGTAAACAAACTAATTGACAGATGGCAAGAAAGGGTGTACCAACATAACAAAAATAAAATTTTTGAAAAAGGTCTATTACTTAAGGAGTAGTTACCAAACAACAAAATCCGGGTACTTTTTGAGCAGAATGTATACCAAGGGGCTTAGAAGAATAGAAGGGCTCTCAGTTTGAATTATAATAATCCAACTTATTAGTTATTAGTCAGCAACTTATTAGGAATTGGTAAAAAATTTTCGATATTTTATTGAATTAGTGATGTTACATAGCATACCCATGTTATTATGTATTACTTTTTAAGGGAGTTATTAAGCAACAATGGTAGAAGTATCAAGTTGGCGATAAAAATTTTTTTAAAAAGCCATTCAGTAATACACCTTAACCATATTGGAAAATAGTAACAAGACTGTAAGATTTTTTAAATTACCTCTGAATACGCGCTCCGTATCATCATATTTGTTTAAGTACTGGGTTTGTCATATTAAGTGGATCTATTTATTTTACCAAAAAATATATGAAAAACTGCTCTATTACAAAAATTCCATAAGACTCATGTTTTAAAGCCGTTTTACCATTAGTCATTTTCATCTTCCTTATCAGTGTTATCAGTTACAGTGTTGCCAGATAGGTCGATCTAATGTGTTCAACTTTGTATATTTTGGTTTAGTTATTTTTCGATATTATTCTCACTGCATAATAAAGATTTTGAGGACGTATTGCAACAGTATGAGGTCATAGCACTTTGTATCCTACATAAAATTCGAGGACATTACCAATAATAACTAAATTTTTAATGAATAAAATATGTTTAATTAAAAGTATATTAATAAAAGCAAAATAATAATTACAATTATAATAAAAGTTGCTATATGAAAGGACAAACAAACAATTTGAAATTGTCATTGAAGTTTTAACAATAAAGCGACTTTTAATCCTTGTTCCTTAAATCCTTATTTTTAGTGGTAGCTCAGTCGATTAACGAGACAACAATGAGTTTCATACATAAGAATGGAAAGTGCGTTGACATCGTAAAAAGCAAATAAAATCCATTTCCACTTTATAACAAAATAACCAAATTGTCCTTAAAACTAAGCTAATTTAATTCTTATCCTCGTTCACATTGCAATGCAATTTAAACCAATCCAACCAACAATCATAGTTAATTCCAAAAATATTTTGATTTGACCCAAGAGCTTAGATTTATTTATGTAAATAGCAGGAAAGTCTCAATAGAAAGTTTGTGATGTGGAAAATGGAAACGAGACTGAACATTATCATTTAAAAGTTTATACAATTTTAATTAAAAATTTTAATATTTTGCTATTATCTGCATTTACAGTGAAAAGCAACAAGAGCACACCAACCCAGCAGAGGAAATGCACAGCGGATTATCATAATCACCCAAAGATGGCAATTGCAACAAAACCGTGCGAACAGCAACAATTTCAACAGCAAATTAAAACCAAAGAAATTAAGAAAAAGTTTAAATCCTTATATCGTCAACAGGAGCAACAACAACAACAACAGCAGCATCAACAACAACAACAGCAGCTGCAACAACAGCAGCGATGTCAGTCTCCACGACAAGAGCACAAGACTCATCAACAACAGCACAATTGCCAAGAAAAACTTAATAAAAATGGCAACACACAGGATGCGATGGTTACTGTTGTTGTGAATGATGTTGCTGTGGTGAAGAGTGTTGCAGAAATTTTGCAAA